TTGCTTCAAAATTAGAACGAAACATGCCAGCAGCAGAAATAGAACCTCGCGCGTGTCATCCATTTTTCGTTCATAAATAGCGGCTTACCAAAGGTCACCAACTAATGGCAGCCCTTAGCCCGTGCTAACGACTGGCCCTCCCTGTGCGTGGACGCAATTGGGTCTAGCCGAAATGCAAATATGCTAGATAAGCCTAAATCAGCTTAAATCTTAGCCCGTACTTCGTGTAACGTGAACACAACTATTATTAATGATTACTGGAATGGGGATAGTAAAAGTGTGAAGGGAGTTTTAGAAAAAATAGAAGATGATTATTCAAAAAAGTGGAAGAGTGACATTAATTTAGAAAAATCTGATTCAGGAGAGCTCAACAAACTTCGCACCTACAGGAAGTTTAAAACAAACTTCAAAATGGAAAAGTATTTGATGTATGTGAATAATTCAAAATATAGAAAATATATTTGTAAATTAAGAATTAGTGACCATCAGCTTATGATTGAGAAAGGGAGGTATACTAGACCAAAAACAAAACTGGAACACAGAATCTGCACAAGATGTGACAATAACTCAGTTGAGGATGAGTACCATTACATTATGGACTGCCCACAGCACAATAAAATGAGGCAGATACTTTTTACAGACTTACATAAGGATAATTCTAATTTTACTTCAATGGATCATCCCGATAAATTTATTTACATTATGACAAACTGCCACATTAAGCTTGGTGTGTTTATAATGCAAACAGGTGTGTATTAATAAAACACCTGATTCTGTACTACCTTTTAATTGCCTTTTATTTTGTTATTTAAATTTTTTGATTATCCTTTTTACTTTTTTTTTTTTTTATTTCACTTGACTATGTTCATCTTCTATAGAAAGAATAATGTCAATAAAGTTATCTTATCTTATAACGCTAACCTTGTACACATAATCTTGTACTGACGTGTTTTTTCTCCAAAAAAGACGTTCTCTTTCAGTTAACCCCCAGTTAGCTCTTCGCGTTCATGGTATTTGTGAGAGTTGAAAGATTTGTTGAACACATGACAAGTAACTATATTGATTTACGTACGTTACGTCATGTACGTTCTATAAAGCTAACCTTGTACACATAATCTTGTACTGACGTGTTTTTTCTCCAAAAAAGACGTTCTCTTTCAGTTAACCCCCAGTTAGCTCTTCGTGTTCATGGTATTTGTGAGAGTTGAAAGATTTTTTGAACACATGACAAGTAACTATATTGATTTACGTACGTTACGTCATGTACGTTCTATAAAGCTAACCTTGTACACATAATCTTGTACTGACGTGTTTTTTCTCCAAAAAAGACGTTCTCTTTCAGTTAACCCCCAGTTAGCTCTTCGCGTTCATGGTATTTGTGAGAGTTGAAAGATTTTTTGAACACATGACAAGTAACTATATTGATTTGCGTCAAGCTGGGTGGCCCGAATTTAAATATCAGTGCGTGAACTCAAACGCGTGGTTATTAGAGTTCAGTCGAAATGTACGTGAATATTGCGATCGAAGTGCGCTGTCCAGAGTTTATTATATTATAGTAAAATTTAACTTGACGCATGGTATGGTTTACATTACATGTTCACTTCATTTCAAATAAAAAAATCACCATTGGAACTTTGGTGAATCACAAGTATTTAAAATATTTTCTCGACTTTCCGACTACTATCATTTTTAATGATTTAAATGCGCCAATGTTTATGTTTGCGTAATTATTACGAATGCAACGCATTATCAAGTCGGTAATATTGAAATATTCACAGACCCAATACCCCGGGTCAGTGCCCTAACAATAGTAAAAATTAACTTGAGTTTGCGTAATTATCATGAAAGCAATACATTTAATACAAAGTTGAAATATTCAGAGCTGGTACAATATTGTAAACAAATTTGCGTAATTAGAAAAGCAGTGCACTAAGTAAACGACGTTGATATATTCAAAGCCAGTACAGAGTTGCATACAAGTTGCGTAATTACAGTACCGTTGGATATAATAAAAAACAACCAATCACAAGACTGGTTACGAACCAGTTGAGCAAGGCTAACCGAGTCGTGACCTCGATGTGGTTCGTAACTAGTCTTGTGATTGGTTGTTGACAAATGCTGAACAGGCCACGCCTTCAACTGTGCCATGCGTTCGGGCAAACCGTTAGGAATTCCTAAATTGAGTCAATTTGTGTAGTTTTCTTGATTTATTCTGCAGATATCGGTAAAATGTAGGCAAGGCTTTGGCGAAATTTGAAGGAGCAACTAATATTCTTCAACCTGGTATTTTTTTTAGATTTTATTTTTCATTCTTTTCGTCT